TGTGTCCGGCGATTGTGATCGACATAAGCAAGAAAAACGCCGCACTAAACACTGAATCTGATTTCAATATCATGTAATAGTTTTCGTCAGTGTGAAAGAGAGCACCATACCAAGGCACATACGCGTTCGTACATACAAGGCAGTTTTAAAAGTATCAGGGTACCGATGCTAGGCTGTTACTTATGATAGCATAGCTCAACGCCTCGGTTTGGTGCAGCTCTATGTCACGCCACAGGCTTTCATTCACCTACCTCACTAAATGGTTGATGTGTGGATAATAATTTGTCACTGTTAATATCTATGGTCACCTGACCGCCTCCGTGGTTTAATGGTAGAGCGTCCGCCCGGAGAGCGGAAGGTTCGGGGTTCGATCCCCGGCCATGCTATACCAAAAGATGTTAAAAGATGGTACTTGTTGTTACCCTGTCTGGCGCTCGGCATTAAGGGGCTAAAATACGGACTGGTCGGCTCGGAGTCAGTATACTGAGTGTCTGAGTGGGGTATTCATGTTAAACTGCGGCATGGTATTTAAATGGGCTAGCACTATAAAATCGGCATTAGTCCAGAATTTTACAAGCACACAAACACATACACATACACACACACACACACACACACACACACACACACACACACACACACACACACACACACACACACACACACACACACACACACACACGTGCATTCACGTCGCTATATAAGTGCAATAATCTTGGACGCGACATTAAACCACATTTCACCTCACCTCAACTCTATGGTCACTTTCATATTCTTTATTCCTTTTCTAACAGCTCTGGACTGAAATTAAGTTAAATTAAATGCTGTGATGTGGGTTCATCCAACTCAAGCAGTGGGTAGATTAACTTTAATGTTCTTCTCAATTTATGAGCACCAGTGCACATGAAGAGGCAATGAAGGAGGCATAGTAAGCAATATATGGTCAGTTTTAGCTATTTAACTGACATCTCCAAAATGGTAACAGATCCTAACAACCAGAACCCTATTTAACAGCTATAATATAAATAATCCTTGACACAAACCTCATACAATCTAATCAAACGTATTCACTGTTGACATAGGGAGGTTGTAAAACTAAATGTTTTACTCTTTCTGTCATTAAACAATCTGTCAGGCAGGATTTCTAACCAAGAGGTTAAAAGCAGCATGAGGGAGATGGTCTTGTATAAACACCGGTTCCTTTTCTCTCAGACAGTAACAATAACATTAACCTTTCTAAGTATATTTTCCAGACATTTCCCTATAAGTTATTGGTAGACATATTTTCTTCTAAATGCAATAGTAATGGGTTTTTTAATTAGATGAAGCTGAAATCTGTTTTGATCACATGACATCATCTCGCTCTGTGGTAAAAATGTCTGTTTAAAGCTGTATCTTTGTTTTTGCTTTTTGCCTTGACCATGGCAAAATTCTTGACATCAGTGATTATTTTTTTCCGTTTTCATTTGGAGTACCTTATGCTTAATTCATTGTGTTTATATTAGGAGAAAATTGTTTTGAAGAATGTTTACAGCAATTTGAGTGCTGATATCATCACCAAGTCTTGTCACAGTCTTTCCACATCATAATTCTCTCATACCATTTGGATTACTTCCTAGATTGCTATGGATGTATAATGCAGTTAATAATTGTGCCACCCTGACATTTTGTTCTGTCATTGTATTCAGTTGCTAAGGTAAGGTAAACCAAACCAATACTCTTAATTAACCAAAGCTACTAATAATAATTAGAGCACTCTCGCTGAAGATCAATGTTTAAATAAGGAAAATGAACATGGAACAAATCATAATGGTCCTCCTCCTCATGAGAAATCTAAGAGATCTTATCATGAGAGTATTCCCTGTGGCATTTGTCAAGTTTGGATGCAGCTTGGAAAGTTATCTGGTGAATCTATTTATCGTGAAATGGACACACATTATCATCCAAATGAAAGAGTTGAACTGTTTAGTGGTCTCTTTTCAGTAATTGGTAAAGACATCATTCTAACTTCTGACATTTGCTTGTGTCGGTCTTGTAATATCCATGACAATACAAATACTGACAAAACACCACATGTTTGTCCATGTTGGTTAAAACTTAAAGAAAAAGGACACTAAAGCCAAAATTATCACTCCCCTTGTGTCATGTACATCAGCATTGTCTTGTCAATGTCAGAATGCATCACAATGGATACCATCAAATGTCTAGATCCAGGGGTGAACTGTGCTCATAAGACACATAATTCTTATCAAATATCAAAGAATCAACCTATGTTAGCAATAAACATTACATGCAGATGTATCACTTTAGAAAATGCTTCATATGCAACTGTTCTGATGCAAATGATTTGGAGTTTGGTCTAAATACCATGAACAACTAGAACAACAGTCAGAATATAGATCTTTGACTTTCTCATCAACTGACTCCATATGTGCAGATTGCTTTCAAACAACAAGCAATAAAAGTTTGGTGATAATACTGACCAATATATCTCTTCAAAGGTTCGGTTTATAGGAGAGATGGCATTGTTTGTCTCTAACAGCATTCAAGAAATAAAGCAGCATGGTTACCTCCTGCGATCAAGCATTGTCAAATAGTTTAAGTCCACCCTACAGAATGACGGTGATAGAGAAATATCATTGAAAAGATTTCATAATCATCTAACTACTGTAATAAAATATTATTTAGATATCGGTTGATATAGTGCATAGGTACAATGTATTCTCATACATGTATTTCATTGAAATCTTTTTATGAGTTATCAACAGAAAACAACAACCTAGTATTGAACTTAAACACGAAAAGGATTATGCAGTAAAATCAGTGATATTCGAGATATGTTTGAGATTCAAACTAAACGTGTGCTGATTAATGAGAACATTGATAAAGCTTTCTTTCTTGGAAATCATCTTCATCAGCCATTAAATTTTATGAAAACAGTTCTTGGAATTGATACAGGCAAAGAAGTACCAGAACACAAACAAAACAAAGTTACAAAATGCTATTGCAGCGTTGTACGATATAAAAACTACTAATTCAATAATGCGTCAATCTGCTGTTGGATTAGTGGCATATGCAAATAGACTTCGGGACAAAGGATTTCGTATACTTACTTGGTATAGCTCGTGGTTTTGATCTCATTCGGAAAGAAGCACATAAATGGTCTTCAATTAGGAGCAGTAGTTGATGAAATTGATATAAGGGCAACCGATTCTTCTGCATATCTGCTACCAAACACATTTCCTGGATTCACTATTCAACAAGTCTGTATAAGCACAACTTACAAACACAGCATTTACTATTTCACAATATGAAAACCACAAAGTTACATGACCTTAAATAGTCTTTGCCTCGTTATACTCCCAGTGAACCTGATAACGTTGCAAATGCTGCTGTTCAATCAGGCATCACTGATGTATCAAAATACTTACTGGAACTGAAGAATGATCTATGTAAAACTGGTAAACCTGGTTTTCCAAAATAAAGTGGTTCTCGGTGGTGATCCGCAAGCATATGCCATTGTAAATAACTCTGAAAGAAATATTCTCAAACAGTTTCATTGGTAATACCAGGTGAAATATAAGAGATATGATTTGGAATCTCCGGAATGCTAGCTTGCCAATACTAACAGAACTAGTTTTTGCTTACTCTCACAACAAATATGAAGAACTTGCTTGTCAAACTTTGAATGTTGTTTTTGATTCTTCCATGCGAATATTAGAAATCATGTTCTGAATGGTGAATGGACTATCAGCATCACTACAAATCCCTTTCATCGTGTGGCTTTGGATGAGGGTCACGAATCAATTTTCAATATACGTCTGAAAGAGTTAACAACTCATTCGACACTTGCTAATTTCATGGCATGTCTGAACAAATACTTTTGCCTCTTCCTTAATGCAATTTTCCGTTTCAAGAAGAGACACAAGAACTAACTGACTCAAATAGATTTCATTACGTTTAACCTATTCGTCCAGATATACAAGGAAAGAGTATATTTAACTCAGATGATGCCTGGAAACTTTCGAACATGTTTTCTGAACAGACGACTGATCTTGACAATGAAACAAAACATTATCTTCTCACAATGGCCACAGAAAGATAGTCACGTATGCATACATCCATAACATCTCCTACATACTGCAAAGCAACGTACAAAGCATTATCATGTCACGTCGTGGTAGATTGTATGAAGCTTTCAGGTGGCTGATTATTGAATGAAAAATGCAGGAATGACTGTAATTTCAAAGCAAGTACAGATATACCGAACAACAAACGAAGTTAAGGACAGGCAACCAGGTCAGCCTCACAAGCCATACGGGAGAGAAGATGTAACATTATTAAGGCTTGTGAGAGGACCTCAATTTGACAACGGTACAGTTTTAAAGGCACAGCATTTACCAGGGAGAGCGATTTCAACCAGAATCATCATCATCTGAAAACAGCTTGATAGAGTCAGAAGACCCATCAAACTTCCGTTGTTAACTCCAGCTCATAAAGCAAATCTTTTGGTATGCTATAATCAATGTCTAAACAAGAATATTACATCATGGCGAAGAGTCCATATTTCTAATGAAAGTCGGTTTCTAATACACATGACAGTTGCTTCCGCTCACAGGGCAGGCTCACTATCCAATATACAAGGGAAGCGGAATATGAATACCCTTAAGGCATCTACGTTCTTAATCCCCCCCAACGTTTTATAACAATAAGGTGGGGTGAGATGGGGTTTAACATCATGTTCAAGATTATTGCACTTGTATAGAGACGTGCATGCACGTGTGTGTATGTGTGTGGCTGCTTGTACTAGTCCAGACTTATGCCGATTTACAGTGCTAGCACGCTGAGGTACTATGCCTCAGTTTAACATGAAGACCCCACTCAGATACAGTATACTGACTCCGAGCTGACCAGTCTTTGTTTTAGCCCCTTAATACCGAGCGCCAGACAGGGTTCAACTAGTACCATACCCAGGATACGAAGATAACAATGTGTTTTGATAGACATTAGTTTATTGTGGATGCAAAATATAAATTCTGTTTGAGAAACAATAATGGCAGGTAAGGTTACTCCAGAGAATAAATTACTTGCTACGTACTAACAGGAATATAGAATATCATGATAGAGCATTCAATGTACAAAGTTTGATCACCAAACCCACAGTAAATATAACTTAAGCTATAAGAGATTCACTCATTCTCATTCTGATTATGAGTTAACAGAAGCTGAAGAAATCAGATTCAGGGGAAGCAACTCATGGTCATGGTGCCCATAACTTTACAAATACAACATACATGGTCGACCCATTTATCAACCAGACTATACCTGTGTATGTCTTACATACTTGGTGCTGCTACCGTGGTGACACATACCTAAGAAACATGAATTAATTACTTAAGCATGATATAACTCTGCTTTATATAAATGTTGTAGTCAAAGAGTAAGTGAATTGCAAGATAAATATTGTATATTGTAACAAAGTAGGGAACATAGAATCTAGAACTTAGTGCATGTGTAGAATGGAAATAATATATTAATGTATGTGATTGCTATGGAGCTGTATAAAGCTGGAATCCCAGAATGATCAGGCAATGAACCGACTGTGCTACCCGTCCGCCCGCAGGGATATCTTGCCAGCTCCGGTCGAGGTTCTTCAGTTCGGCTTCATCCATGGAATAAAGTAGAGAAAATACATCCCTGTGTTGTCGTACTTCCAACCGGGACATTATTATACTTGTTTCCATTTTCCTAAAAAATTGTATTCCTGAAAAAAGATTAAAGACATCTAAAAGTAACTGATTCTTTTACTCGACCCTGGGGTAAACAGCTTCATTTTTTGGTTGATAGCCACTAAGGGAGACGACTGATGAGACGAACTAGAGGAACAAACATTACGGCGCTGGAGTGTTTGAGGAGGCCCATTGCCGTGGGTGAAACAAGCCTTGTCTGGGAAGACACGAGGCAGAAAGCATAGATTTGGTATGAAAGGTTCCCTTCAAAATGCCAAACGTCAACGCCTGAAAATAATCAGTCTCCAAACAGATTCTATCGTGCGTCAAATACAACCATTACATCCCTAAATTACCGTTTCTACAAAACCGTTACATACATAATATACAGTTTCTATATAACCGTTACATCACTCACATGTCGTTTCTATATGAGCATCACATCCCTAATATGCAGCTTCTATTTAACTCTAACATATAGTCAATATAACCATTCCATCCCTAACATTGAATTTCTATATAACATCAACATCCCTAATATTGAACTTTTATATAACCGTTACATACTGCGTCAACATCCGTTACATGCCTAACATATAGATTCATATTACAGTAACAATTCTAACATAACCTTCCTTATATCTGTAACATTCCTCACATGTAATGGTTACAACCTCATTGAGAGTGTCATACACTAAACTGTTCCATTCCAGATATGCAGCTTTGATAAAGGTTACATCCTAACATGCAACAGCAGCTTGATTGGCATGTTGTCCGAGATAGGCAATATGTTCGACTGAAAGACTGAACCAATCCTACTGTAAGAATGAGACAGTGATCTTACCAGACCTTTTCTTCACATATATAATAACATCCAGGTATGGGCATTCCGTTAAAATGTGAAGCTATGCTCCTGGTGTAGGCGCCCATGTTCTCAACATACAACCAGTCCCCGATCTGCAGCTCGGGTAGAGAAAGGCCCTTCTGTACACAATCAGCGCTGTCACATGTCGGACCCCACAAGCTGGAGGTGAAGGTCACGTCACTAGAGGGCGCCTGTAACCGAACACCTTGGGATTAACCGTTTGATATTTTAATGGTGGGAGGGTCTTGCATGGTTTGAGACGGGATTAGCTTTATCAGCCAGCACTTCGATACATTCACTATGTTTCTCTGAACGCAGCTGCAGCTGAGGCCGGGTGGGTGATTGAGTTATTGGGTTTCAAACCTTGCATCCATGTGAGGAATCCAGGGTAGAATAAATTTTCTGTAACCCATGCTTGTTGCAAGAGACGAGATCGGGTGGCCAGGCTCGCTGACTTGGTTGATGCATGTCATCATATCGCAATTGTGTACATCGATGCTCATGATATCAATCACTGGGTTGTCTGGTCCAGACTCGATTTACACAGCACTGTCACACAGCTGGAATATCGTTGAGTGCAGCGTTAAAAACAAACAAACAAACACGATGAATGAAAGTGGAAAATAGGTGTAATATCTACCTTCACTAACTTTGGGGTTATGCGTATGTCTCCGAAGACAAGGAGGTAGAAAGATCCATATATACCGTCTGTGAGGTAGTACATGAAGGCTGGTTTCTTGTCACTTGGCATATCTGGCTCACAACTGTTTTCTGATAACACATTGTACGACAACCATGATTAAAATTATCATTTGAAGAATATTGACCGGTGGTCGTTTCGTTTTTCTTAATGACTCATGACTGAATCCTAAACGTATGAAATATGTTTCTGACTTTATTTGAGCAAATTGCCTGACAATCATTGCGCCACAGTTGCCTGTACCTGAATTCCTGTGATCTCCTTTAGCAAGGCATTTCTTTTTTCCCATCACACTAGTCACTAAGGTGTAAGCCGATGATGAAAAGTACCGCCCTGGTTCTGCTATGATCTTGACATTGGAGCTGACAGGGAAGTACTTGTCAAGAGACTTGTTCAAGGTGGTGGCAACCTGAAACAAAATATGCCCCGGCACTGTAGCTCACCAGAGAGAAATGCAAGAACAGCCACAGTGGCACATGTTTTACATTTACAAACAAGCTTCCAGAAGTGATGGATGCCCATTATCCCACAAATCAAGAATCGAGAATTGTGTAAAACAATTCATCCTCCATCTTCTTGAAAAAAATCTCATCCTGAAAAACAGTATTTCGTGAGCAAAGGCATAATCTTTGACATCGAGACATGAGTATGCTAGATAAGTATTACAGGCATACTGTCAATCAGAATCAAATGATCCAGTTCAAGATGTCATATCTTGCAAGTCACCGTGCCGTATCCTTGGAGAAGGTTATCGCTGTGATGACTGATACAGTTGATGACCCGCATGCGATATTCCCAGTAAGCATAGTTTACCCTTATGTGGTAAAAAATACAACATAAACATACTTTTATTAACAAAATACATGGATTATATATGAACACCACTACAATATACAAGTTATACCATGAATGAGAAAAAAAGAAGGTATTGTGTCCACTGTTTGGAGGATGGGGTCAGCTGTTCAGTATTCGATCAATCATCAAGACTGAAATCAGCACATGAAACTCCTTTTAATCCTTAAGAATGTCACAATTTTCAGTCAGTATTGTGTGTATGCCCACCAAAGGAATCAATGCATGCCAGAACTTGCCCATGAGAAGAAGATGTGATACGACTGATAACAAGAAATGGAATTCAACACCATTTTTCTCAGAGGACCTGTGTTACGTGATCCTTGATATCAGGGCAACCCAGATGCGCACTATTGTGACGGTTCCACAAGAGTTCTATAGGTGATAAGTCTGGTGATTGTGCTGGCCAAGGCAAGATGTTGCATGGGTTCAGGTGCTATCTTGTTGAAACGTGATCTGTCCTGTTATGTTGTAAGAACGGTAGTACAGGGTAGAGAGAATGGTAAATGTAATGCTGCCACCTCGAAACGGTTCAACATCTTGGGTGCAACAATGTTCTCATGTTGACACAAATGCAAGGAACAGCTTGAAGCTGCTCATACCAACCGCCAATTCTTTCTGTTGTAGGGTTAATCTTAGCATGCTACTGTCCAACAGTTTGGTGTGAATGAACAGGATATTTTTGCAGGTTGGCATGTTGTAAGTGCAGTGAAAGATTAACTTCAAAGTCAAGTTCCATTGATCTGTGTACTGTCGCACGTTCTATACTCAGCAAATTGTTTTGGATGTGTTTTAGCGATTGATTCTCAACCATTTTGTAACACTATTCTGGTTTTGGAATCGACGTGTCTGAACAGTTTGGTAACGTTTGTTCATCAGTTCACACCAAAAGTTTTGCTATTGATGTCCATCATCCTCAATCTCAGTAATTGAAAATGTCAAGTTGACTATTTTGTCTGCCAATCTGAAGAAAACTGCACACTTTCGTAAAACATGGTCTTTTATTATACTACACACAGTCGTAAAACATGGTCTTTTATTATATGAAAATGCTTTATAATACTGATATTTTACAATGAATTTTTAAAATCACCAACATCTGTACTGTTTTAGTTAACTGCGAGAACATTTTAACAATCCTTCATATGTTGAACTTCTTATAAAGAAAAAAGTATCATGACTGTACCCAACACACGCACACAAATCCCCACCCCAAAACCCCCTAAATATCAAATAGTCCACCCCTAAGCAGGATTAAACGTCGCCCTGTGTGTCATCTTAATGTTTGAGGAGCCCATAGGAATGAAGGTTGTATACGTTCGTCACTTTGATGTGTAATTAACGAACAAGAAACAGGAATTAATATTATGACCTAGGGGCGCAACTATGGGACGCAACAAGAGGGACGCAACTCTGTTGACCGAATATTGGCGGGGCCTGACACGACTAGGTCACCCGTACTCCAGGTTAAGATTGTTATACCTTTTCAAACGATAGGGGGGCACCTTTGTGACCGTAGAAACCTCCGCCAATGTCAATTATATTCGGTGTGAATCCTAATTGCTCTGCCATAGCAAACACACCATGGGATCTCTGTAGCGACACAGCAAACACTTCTGGGTCCTCTGCTCCACTCCCAACGTGGAAACTGTGGGTGTAATGAGAGATAGTCAAAGATTGATACTGTTGCTGACCCCTGTCCTATGTCTACTAAACAGAGGGACATAACTACAATTCCATGTCTCTTCAATCCGGGCATATGTTAAACAGGACAATTTCAGTGGAACAGAACACCCTGGATAAAGGGGAACTCGTTATAAAAATACTGACTGTTACAAAGTACACAAGTAACACACTTGAAGCCTGTTTGCATGTCCAAGTCTCGGTTTAAACCATAAATAAATGAACTAAACTCAGCGCTTCTAACAATCGCGATTCTGTGAGAGTATACATAAGGATTATGTTCAAAATAATGTTTAATTTAGTATCTGAGTCTGCATTGTCTCCCATACCATCTTTCACTAAGGGGAGACAACCGATGTACAAGCTATCTCCACGGCTGTCCATCATACGCTAACAACTCAAATAAATATCAAAATTATACAATATCATCATAATAAGCAAAGGTGGTTAATGCCTGAGGTTATTGGCTGGGTTGAAATCTGTTTTGCTAACTACTGTCGTTGCTTTATTGTAGACATGCTGAACGAGTCTTGATAGGAGTTGTACAAACTGAACGAAATGTCTTTTCCCTTTGAAAAAAAGTAAATCATGATATTTGTTGAAAAATGTCTGGTTCATAAAATTACCGTTTTGTCGAATGAATAATGTAAAAAATGTTCTCACCTAACTCCGACAACATTGAGACCGAGATTTTTTGCTGTCATCAGTAGGCCACTGAAGTCACTAGAGTGGCAGCCGAATTTCGTTGATAGGTCGTCAAAAACTTTGTAGTGACCCGGGGGGACAATCCGTAGAAGGAGTCTGGAAGAAACAGGATGCTAGGGATGGAGTGGACTGGTTAGAGGTGCCAGTTAACTAGCTGCAGGAAGGGCATGCAAAATTAAACAAGGTGATAAGGGGCCAAAGGTAGTTCACACTATTGTGTCAAGTACAGTGAAATTATCTACATAATGCGAAGCCATATATCAAACATGATGAAACCTGGATACGATTACTGTGTGGTTATATTATCCTGCGTCAGATTGACTCAGATTATTGCGGGGGTGGACACAATCCAACTATAATAATACTCTAAAGAAGTTGTCTCTATGACCATAGTTAATCTCTTATGGATGGTGGGTATTGAAACACAGATCCTTCCAAATGTGGATGTTCTTTAACTTATTTTGAATGGTATATATGAAGATATTAATAGGCATGTAGATGTTGGTGATTCATGAAAAGAACCTATATGTGGATTTCAAGCTCTATAAACTTATTACACAACATTTTGCGTTCTCATTCAAATTATTTGTCCAAACACTGTAAACATACTTTGAGACATATTAAAAAGATGAAACTTGGCAAAACTGATCATCAAGCTTGAAATTAAAGTGTCAAATGTTCTTAAAGTGAAACACAACACTAGTCTCTGAGACAATGGCATCATAAGTCAGTATCTCTTGTGTCCGCCATGTGCATTGATGACTGCCGTGCAACGTCGATACATGGAATGGATGAGGCGGTTGATGAAGACCATAGCCACTTGAGCCCACACTCTGAGGAACGCCTGACGCAGTTCAGCTGCAGTTGTCAGCCTTGGTCAGACGTCATTCAGCCGTCTTTGAATCTCGTCCCACAGGTGCTCAATGGGATTTAAATCGGGCCTGAGGGCAGGCCACTGCATGGTTCTGATGCCATTCTGCTGGAGGAAGTCTTTTGTTGCTGTCGCAGTATGGGCATGGGCGTTATCATGCTGAAATTTGTGGTTGCGGCGACGTGCCAAATGAGGTATGGCATGGAGTCTCAAGACTTGATCAATGTACCGAACTGCTGTGACACCATTGCCTATTCTTGGACCGATGTTCTGGAAAACCACAAGGCCGACCCTCTCTGCAAGACCAATTCCACCCCACACCATGATGCTCGGACCACCCCACGAGTCTCTCTCAACAAAACAAGCATCCGAATAAAGTTCCCAATAACGTCTCCAGACTCCCTCTCTGCCATCTGCTGTTGAGATACAGTAACAGTTCTCGTCTGAGAAGTGGACTCTTCTCCACTGCTGGTGGCGCCAATACTGGTGCTGTGTTGCCCACTGAAGACGGTCCCGGTGTGGTGTAAGAATGGGTCCTCGGTGTGGCCTGTGACAGTGGAGGTGTCTGTTTGTCAATCATCAACACACGGTGTCCACACTAATGTGTGTCAAGCAGTTTCAGCAGCAGCAACAATGCTGTAGCACAATCTGACGATCCTCACGTCGGGTGGTTACCCTTGGTCTTCCACTACGTGGTCGGTCATCTGTAGTGTTGGTGGTCTGGTACCGTTGCTGGAGCCTGTATATGGTCCTTACATGGACTTGAAATGCATTTGCAACTTGCCGGGAGGTTTGTCCAGCTTGCAATCGTCCAAGGGCTTGATGTCACTGATTTCTTCTCAATCGTGGCATGAGGTAGCAATTTAATAACGAATGAATGATTTTTATAGGGCAAGAAAATGGGGAACGCATGTGCATTTCAATTTGCATGGAACTCACGTTATCATGGCTGTTGTCGTGATGCGTTTTGGCGATCGGTTTTATTGTCATGTGCTTTGTTTTTTATCATCAAATTTCAGTTTTCCGGACAAGGTATTGTTAAATTTTAGAAACCATGACGACAATTACCCAAATATTTGAATGACACCTTTTCATGCAATGTTACTTTGGGTGACGTTACTTTTGCGGTTGAGTATATATTATATAAATAGTTACTCGGCTGTTATAGGTATAAATCAGAGGCTGTAATGTGTAAAGAGCTTGTTCCACCTGAACAAACAAGATCAAGTCATCAAACATTAGAGGGTCGGTTTCCACCTTCTGTAGACTTTGTTAACGTCAGTTTGCATTCCTCCAGTTTTCTGTACAGCTTGACAACTTGGCCCAAGAGTCTTAGGCGCTACAATTCGCTGTACAGAGTTGCATTCCGTGAGCACGCCAGAAACTTTTGATTTGGTTCTATGTTTGTCAGCACCATACCCGTGCTCGTGGGTTTTACCAAAGAAACAAACGCCTGAGACCTGCATCACTTCGGGCTTTCCTGGCACATAAAGCTGACATGCCATGATATGACTGGAATACTGTTAACAACGCGCTGGTGTGGCGTTAATTAATGTTATTTGCATACTCGTATATGCAAGGGGTCGACGTATAGTTTTCGGTTGGAAGTGACAACTTGGAGACGATGGCTTGCGGTATATACAATTTTACTTAAAATAGGTAGATATATACATACAAAAACACTATGTGCCAGGTCAGCACATAGTGATAGTGGTTGTTGTCTTGGTGCCCTGGGGCACCCAGCCTAAGCCTTGCTAGGCTAAAGATAAGACCTTTCTCTCCCTCCATCCGCTTTTCTCTCTGGACCAATGCTTATATAGCCAAGGTCACCTGACATTTAGCAATGTAATCAACAGTAATATATCAGTGACATATTTTGCAGACAGTAATTTTGCGCACATGCAAAAATGAATTTTGGAAAGACACGTATTGGCATTAATATGCTGGCTTTGATCACACATACCTGGTTGCACTTATCAACAGTCACACACAGTCATATCCTGGATTTAGTCCATGTAAGTACACACAAATTAGTAAGTCCTAATACGATATTGTGTACATAGTGTCCATCTTGTTGGTGCACGTGAGGCGGTTTCTGTATTGTGCAGGGTCTGCATGATGATGGATGTAGTCGGGTCTCTGTGGGATAGGCGTGTAAACTTCTTTTCTTTGGTCCTGTGCAGGAACGAAATCTTGAAGGGGAAGTCTTAGCAGTGTTGCTAAGATATTTGACGATGGAAGGTTTGGGATCGGAGAACTTGTTCTTGATCGTGCGATGTTCTTGTTGTTTCTTCAATCTTCTTCAATGAATCTCTCTCTCTCTCTCTCTCTCTCTCTCTCTCTCTCTCTCTCTCTCTCTCTCTCTCTCTCTCAGTGTTTCAAGGCATGTACGTAGATGTCATAGCTCCAGGGTAATTAGCTTTAGGAATTAAATGTTCATTCAGACAATGGGTGTCCTAAATCGACTGCTGTGACACTGTTAAAAAACGGCTGGTTTTAAGCCCAACTCACACACTCACTCACTCACTCACTCACTCACTAGATAATCTAGATGTACCTTGCACTTGGGAACACTGACTTGACTTTGTAGAGTTCAGCTTCACAGTCAAAAGTCATGAGATCTATGTTATTCTTTGTTGCATACTCAAGATTGGAAATCTGTTTGCATGGGTTGGCATACACTATCCTGTCTGCGGCCACGTCCATTTGTAATACCATCTCCATCTCAGCCTGTTGAAAAAAGATTAAATTCCCATGGAGATATTTCAGATAACAAGAGCATATGATTTCTTTCTCTTTTCTGTAGTACTGACAAGAGACGGAGAGTAAGTTCTGAAATGCATTACATTGTTACAGATCAGTTTGCTCTCGAAATATCATTCTCAGCTCTATGGGAAGAATACAACCCCAGCTTCTAGTTAGGCCCAAGGAGGTTTTGCATTCATATCAGCACTCTGTTCTACTAACCTTATAATATGAAGGTGTGAACTTAGATTTGCACTCGATGTTCACTATTTGATAGTGGTTCATAAACACATGTTCATGTTATGGTCGTGATAGTACAATCGACTCTGCTTTTAGAAATGTCTTGTGAATATGGAAAGGGTTTTGACGTTTTTATTTACCTGTCTCTCAGGTGTATATTTCATTGTGGTTCACCATTAAACATCCACCACGATCATTTAGAGATTATGAGGAAGTACCTTGCTTGCACAGTCGAATCCGGTTCCCAGTTCAGAGAGAACACGAATCAGTAATGGATCAGGGTTACTCTTGATAGCTGCAAGGGGCAAACGTCTCACATAAATATTTAAATCGAATTCACAAAATGTACAAAATGGTGTTTTGAGAATTATTTATCATAATGTCAGCTGTGAGTATGGAATCAGAAGTTTGAAATGTTGTGGTTTTTTCAAATTTAATTAAACAAATGTCCTAAACAGACCAATATGAATTAGGGTTGTGAACGCCGTTGGACACATTATTCCAGTTACGTCACAGCATGTCAGCAAGCATAAGTGGGAGAAAGTGATGGCTTAGATGGTCACCACTTTGGTGAGCCTTGCGTACACGTGAATGGTGCTGGCAAAACTAAAAACGTAAAGATGGCAATTATGGGATTAGAACCCTCGACAATACGTTTCTGGTACTTCAAGGGACACAACTTTTAATAACAGCATCTTAGAGTACTGGACCTCCGTGCCCCCATGTAAAATGAGAAATGGTGAGCAAGACCGTATGAAATGGCAACCTTGTGCTTAGCAAGTAACGTTAGGAGTGACTTATTCGTGCCCTGCTCTCCAACCTATGCAGGAATTTATATACTTATCATGTAATGAATTCACCGTAGAATGGTTCCACCCGTGGCAATAATTTCTTCCAACGTTGATGGTTGCTGACGACGTCACCGACATCCATAACATAGAAAGCATCGTCATCTCCCTGCAACCACATATATACATCAACATATTTGAGCTATCGAGCATGTGCATTGTTTTCAGTTAATTCCTTGTCCTACAGGTGTCCCAAAGGAAGATTATTTGACCTTTAAAAAACTTGGCCTATACACAATAATATATGGTAATGCAAAAACATAAGGGTTTTGTCTCGTGGCTTCTTGACCATACACATCGAGGTGTATTGGCCAATACACCCACAGTTTCATTGTGCGACTATTGGTGTATTGGCCGATATACCATGGAAAGCATGGGTATAGCTATCTTGTTGTCCAATTTGTGCTAATATTTATTTTTATTTATTAAACTTATTTGTTCTTGCTTGTTTTAAAACCAAACCCAAATGCGCTGTCCAGCCACAAAATTAAAAGAACAGCAAAACATTACTCTGACTGTTGAATCCGTGATATGATATAGGGATTCAGTTTTAAGTACTGACACACAAACACACTCGTTTTAGAGTTATTCTTGACCTGAGATTAGATTTAAGTCACAAACATTGCTGTTGTATTCATCTTATTCATGTTTATGCTTGTAAAGAATACTGAAACATGTAAAGAAACAATCCAAGCTGGCTTCACTTGTGTTTGTGAAAAATTGAATTTAAGAATGATTTATGAATTTCCGTTTTCACACACAAGGTTCGTGAGTTAGCCATGCAATGTGATACAACAAGCATGAGATCCGCCGAATATGGCACATTATCAATAAAACCAACTGATCTACTATACTATTTTCATATGGAAGCCCCAAGCAACATTGAAATACTTCTGCTCTACCAGCCGGTGATTCTAGCAAGTTTTAGTTTCACTAATACAATAACAGTAAGGGTGATTTATTTGTTACAGATCATCCTCAAGTATTTGGTTACTGTATGGTCAAACATAATCATATACAGCTCTGTATTTAAATCATTTGCAATTATATATACTTCCGACAAAAATATGGGAACTAATGAAATGATTGTGAAGGTGTAATATCTGTAAAATTTATTTCGGGCGTGTAGATTAGTATCTGGTGTGTCCACTATGTTGGGCAATACATGCATGACACCTTGATGCCAAACTGTTGATCAACTTGCACATTGTTGCCCTGGGTATTTCCCACAGTTCCGCCTGAAGAGCTGCCACAAACAGGTCCATGTAGGCGGGTGCAGGGTCTGTGACGTACACGCTCCGCTTGACATCATCCCACGGATGATATGCTGGGGACATTAGGGGACTTAGCGGAGGTGGTCTGGCATTGTCATCTTGCAGTTTAAAATTTCTGCCGATGGAAAAAGGACGGGACAATTTCGTCAACATGTCGCTTGGCATTTCAATAGCCATTCACAATAATCAATGCAGACCCTGCACAATAATAAGTAAACTGTCATCATCTGTAAACATAGTGTAACGCCATTGGCTCGAAGCACACCACTTGTGTTGGCGAACCTTCATATTTCGCCTCCAATGGTAAGCTGTTAGGGTCACACCCTTCACAGGACGCCTTGCTTTCAAGCGGGTGACATAGAGATGGCTTTTAACGGAAGAAGTGGAAATTCGCTTTCCTACATTTTACAGAATTCTCTATTGACAACACGGCAAGATTTGAATCTTTTGTTTAGTGCAATTAATGTAATGAGACGATCTTATCTAGGTGTCGTTTTATTCCTGCCACGCCCAGATCTCATTGCAAACAAACACGATTGAGGGTACTTGTCCGGCAGTCGAAAACGTACACTTTTGGATTTGCCAAACATTCGGACAACATGGTATATTGACGTCCGCCCTCCAGCATACCCTTTTTTGCCAATTTGTCTGTTCATTGAGATAGTGTCTCTTAGGCATTTTTAAATGTATGCTTAGCTCAATAGCTTTAATGATTGTGAGTTCCTCTATATGAGCAGACACTTTGGCTTCTGCGTGCACGATGCACGATGTGAAATATAATTGTTGCATTCAGATGCAACCAAATTTCCACCTCAATGATAGCTACATTCACATCATTATCCCTTATCTTTTGTAGGTAGTGTTTTATTTAAAGGACAATTTGCTCATCAGGCTCATTAAAACATAAGTGAGAAGGTGTGCAATGCAAGTAGTATAGACGATAGCCCAGGCCCTAACAATGCTTCTATGGGGGTTTAAAGTTCATGTGAATTATGTGATGATGATGCCTCGATCGTCATGTATCAAGATGCCATCCTATATCAATGGAAACCTTTAAGCCAAATTGTAATGCAAATATTCTCTTTATTTTTATTCATATGCATACCATTATTTCGTATTTAGTGATAACTACAAGACCAGACCATATACTCTTCTTCACAATTGGAAAGAAATAATTTGGATGGCTTGACATCCATGAAAAGATATGCACCTTGTGGTAATTCTCACCTTTTGATAATTTTGTCCCAGAGCATAAATGCTTTGACAGCTTTTTCAAGTTCTTTTGTTTGCTTGTAATTGTCCATTGTTATACACTTGTGTGAACATTTGTCTAAATGGCAATATTTCATTGTATACAAGGAACATCAATTTAATTAATGATGGATAAAACTTACCATGGCCAGTGAGGATATTGGAACGGTAAAGGGGCAATACAAAAACTAGCTGCAGTGGCTAAGGTATCTTAAGATGTTGCCAAGGATTGGTTAAAGAAGCAAGCAATATGGCAAATATACTTAACAGCCCCGCGATATATAATCGAGGAAAAAGTTTTATATTTCTATAAGTAATGAAGTTCATTAGGCTGACATCTTGTTGCCAAGCTATTGTTGAAAGATTTAACATTAGCAGACTTCCAAATCTTCAGCACCAAGGAGAAGTAAAGAACAAAAACATCCAGGTAGAATAAGTATAAACTATTTAAACCAGCCCCGTGAAGAAGAACAACGCAAATGATCCGGTTAGGTCTTTTAAGATATATAGCATATAGCATAGTGGATTGGTTATGAAAGAAGGCGAGCCTTTTCTGTATTATCTTAAAGATAGGGTGAGCAGAGGATTTGTGTGAGAAGAGTTGCTTATAGTTCACAGCGATCCTGTATTACCTCCCTAAGTAGCCATAGACACAGGTAGTTACACCATCCTTGTCAATCCACCTCTTTGTATCTAAGGGGGATAAGGATGCCTTATTCATTCTTAATACATATATCCTGTGCTTGTCACTTTTTAAATTATTCATTTCATGTTTGAATGTTCTGCCGTTGAATTATGCCTCTTTCTACTGTTCCTGTTTTATATGCTTTTTCACCACATACTTCTTAACACCTTTAGGCTTTTCTATCTCCACATTATCAGACTTGTTTAAAGAATCCATCTTTGGTCTTAATCCAACATCCTCAGCAATAGGATTTGTAGCACACTCATTTTTCATATTGCCTACTACATATCTATTTACTGTGCTGTGCAATGGATTATCTTTTGGGTAATTGCTCGTTTCATACATATCTTTTTTTCTACCATATCTTTATACACATCGTCAGTTTGTATTGCTATTAACAAAGAATCCGTATCGGTATATAACCTGATCTATCAGCATATTGCTTCCTAAGTTCATTGTAATAAAAGTCATATAGCGAGTGTATTTTACCTTACAACTATATATCAAAACCGCAAGCCTTATGTTCTTGAGTTTGGTATGTAAAACTGCATTCAGTACCATGTTCAGTATTTTCTATCTGTTTAATAAGGGCTTCAAAAGTCAGCATAAAGTAATTCTGGCACTGGCATTTGATTACAATAACAATCAAGTTTAATATATTTTATCCTCTTTAGGCATATCGATCCTGACAGACCCCTTCAGTCTTCTTTATGTGCTTCGAAAAGATATTGCCTGCTGTATCCATGCAGATATCTTTCACAGAAACATTTCTTTTCCCCATGAGTTGTTTGATCCTATAATAGCCTGCTGAAACTCTTTATCCATGTATAATGAAATTTGCCATCTTTTTCAACCAGAAATAAATTGATTCATAGAATATTTTTTCCTGATTTTCCAACTTATAAATTGGTGAGATTGGTGTAGGCGCATCTATACGTCCAAAGTTGAGTCCATCATTTTGGGTATAGCTGGAAGGCCTATCTGAGCATTTTTCAGAATCTGCAGGAGTGAGTGAGTTGGGTTTAGCACCGCTTTTACCACTATTCTAGTTATATCACGGCATGTCAGCTTAATATGGGAGGAAAGCCCAAAGTGACGTAGGTATAAGACGTTTACCACTTCGGTGAAACCCACGAGCACGGGTATTGTGCTGACAAACCTAGAAACATAATCAGGGCGAACCGGGATTCGAACCCACAATCATAGGTTTCTGGCATGCCCAAGGGACGCAAATCTGCACAGCAAATCGCAGAGTCTAAGACGACTGGGCGACCAATGCCCCCGGATCTGCAGGAAATAAGGCAGATGTAAATGCCCATCTCAAACAGTTATCACTATTTTTAACGTTAATTATTGCTTGTTTTTTCATATAATATGAGGGTAAATTTATATAAGATCCACATTTCAAAGGCATGTAATTTGCGATATCTAAACACAAAGTTTCAATTCTATCCACAATCCAACCTGAACCTCTATTAGTACATTGCTCTAAAGTTTCTTGGATCTGTTGAAATGATGTATTTAATAATGAACTTATAGACCTCGATTTGGTTATTACTTCTTGTTTGCCCCAGAAATAAGTATTGGTTGTGCATATTCAATGCTGTCATCAGTGTTATTTTCACTTAATGACATTTTAAATATTAGCTGATATTTTATGCTTTCCAAATCATCTAAGTCCTCATTCATTTTGCTTGATATGATGATCGAGTTTAAAATCATTAACATGTGGGAACGAATCTTAACTCGACTGGTTCATCAATTTTAATAACTGGTTGATTATCAACAAGTGGTTTGTTGTTATCCAGTAAAGCAATCAATTCAGCTTTTCTCATTCAAGAATAATATCTCAGTTCGGGATTTCTTGCCTGAGCTTTGAGTTCTCTAACAGTCGGGGGTTTGTTGTAGTACAAACCGAGTAAGGTGATCAATTCACCTTTTCGAATTCGAGAATAACCACATAGACCACATTGTTTTGCTAGACTTTTCACTTCCCTGACAGAAGCCACTGTGCTGTATGACTATATGCAAAGTCAAACTCTAAATGGTGTTTTTTAATGTGACTAAATTCTAATTCTTCTCGAGCTATTTCTCTCTTTGAAGTAATCTTTCCCTGTGTAAATACTCTGGTTTCAAATTTGGCTGCTCCATGGGTCTTACATAAACAATAATGACCCTTGACCCCAATTCCACATACAGAGCAAGTATAGTTAACATGAACTTTCCTTGTTGCCATGACATGAATTCCACAATATTCACCCGCACAACTCTTGCCACAAGTGATGGACTTCATCATCAGCATGAACTGCCATTGTGATAAATATACACTTCCACTGACATGTGTCTAAAAGCAGGTGAGCTGAGCTGTGTCGCCAGCACATAGGTGATAAGAGCAGTCGCTGTCAAGCCCAGTGCAATGAATGCTATCTTCAGCCCTTCTGACCCTCAGATGATGTATAAAACTGAGACAGTGTGGCTTTCCATAAATAAGATAGTATTCGTGCATGGCAGTTTCAACATCATTTAAAGTTTGAATGATTTTGCCTACGAGGCGCTTCATTTATAAAATCAAGCGTCTGCATTCATTTCCCAGTACATTGTGACAGGGATGTTTCAAGTTGTTCTAAACCTTTATCCCTATATTTGCCAGTCTTAATAAGCCATACCGCTGCTATAACAACAGTAGCTAGTGCATATGGAGGCCAATTTTTAATCCGTTCAGCATGTGGACTGTGTACAACTAGTAGTAGTTTTGCCTTCTTGTTGCGGCACCTTTTTTACCTGCGGCTACCTTTTTAGGGTTCTTCGTCACTCTCACAACTTGTGGTGTTTCCGCATTCACTTGTGGTCTTTCCGCTTCCATTAATATTAGGTAGGCACTCATGTTTAACTTGATAGTACTTAGCTGTTATTATAGCAGTGGTAAATGGTGCTAAGAACATTCCGTATGTATGGTAAAACTCACAGCTTACTGCACTTAAAACAAATGGGTCTTCTCAAGAGATTCGCATAGATACAGACGATTTTCTGGTGGGATAGGAAGAAATATAATGGCTACAGCTGTTTATAGTTTTAACATAGCTGAACTTATTCCTTATTGTAGCTCCTAGTCTAGACTCATATTGCACGTATAGTTTTTTAATTTCTTCATCAGACATGTTATCATTTTTTCAGTAGTATAATTTTCCCCTTAGTATTGGGTGCATTTCCCACCAAAGCCACAAGTCTTTCTCTATGTTGTTCTATAGATTTATTCACTATAGGTTCTGTCTCATCTTGGAGCAGTTGTCAAAGGAGTTCATTGCATTCCATCTTTTTAATGTAATGCACTAGCCGATATTTAAGACTAAAATAATTACATTTGAAATATCCAATACAACCTGAAACAATAAACTGTTGCAAATGAATGAGTACTTGCCACCACATTATTGTATACACAAAAGGTTGTAAGTGTTCAATTTGCTATGTTTTACTGAGCATTTGCTACATTTGCAAAGCAGTTGCTCTATGTTGCTAAACAGTTGCTATATTTTGCTGAGCAGTTGCTATATTTTGCTGAGCAGTTGCTATATTTTGCAAAGCAGTCTCTAAATTTTGCAAAGCAGGTGCTACATTTTACTGAGCAGTTGCTATATTTTGCTGAGCATTTGCTACATTTTGCTGAGCAGTTGCTATATATTGCTGAGCAGTTGCTATATTTTACTGAGCATTTGCTACATTTTGCTGAGCAGTTGCTATATTTTGCTGAGCAGTCTCTATATTTTGCAAAGCAGGTGCTACATTTTACTGAGCAGTGGCTATATTTTGTTGAGCATTTGCTACATTTTGCTAATCAAATGCATAAGCAGCTGGTAATCACATACAAATATAAGTTTAATTTACCAGTCCTTTCAGCCTTCTTCTTTATCTGTATAGTGACACCCTCACTAGCATTCTCTATTCTCCGCCATTTGTGATGATGGGTAAGGTACATCATTTCACTAAGATAATGAATAGTGGAATTTTACTTGGGGCTTATATTCCTTCCGCCATATGTTATTGAGTCGCCCAGCATTAAAAGATATTAACTTAAATTTGAAGGCTATACCTCAAGGCTCTACACTCTACATTGAAGTATTGTTTGGGGATGCACCAGAAGATGCCCTCACTGTATAATTAGGTTACGTCTTAATTGGGTAAAGAAACATGAACATAAACATTGAGTATTTTTATACAGACAGGAAGAGGACACTTTTCAAGACTTGATGGGATCCAGTTTATAGCTGGAAGCATTCTGCTTAGTAAGAATTCATGCAAAAAAAAAACTTGTGTCTATTAAGGTTGATGTATAGTCTCTAGACATTGTCAGACAACTATTTAAGGACTCTTGTATAATACAGTATTAGTTATTATGGGTTTATATCCTATACACAATGAAGCATCTGAAAAGAACGTTTTTAGATTTGGATTATATAAAATGTATCGCAGAGCTGTGAATGCCCTTGACAGATTTGACACTGCACTTATAGCAGCTAACATGGGGCTTGGTGCAGGTTGTGTTGGTTTATTATCTACTATAATTGCTGCACCTGTCGCACTTGGTATGGAAGTAGCAGCTGGAGTCTCTGAACTGACAAACTCTGAAATATATTTCACGTCAGTAGCAAAAGAAAGCATTAAAACATGATAGTGTGTGTTGGGTGAAGCAAAGTTAAATAGCATTGAGGATCATATCTCAACAGCACAAGCTGATTCCATGATATCTGAGGAAGAGTTTCGTTTAGTGTTGTCAGAACTCACCAAATGCAACACAGTAAAGCAGGAGATTCGATCTAAGACCAGTGAAGACGAGAAAAAAAGTTCATAGAACAGGGAGACAACAAGCGCACCAAGCATTCCATGCCAAAACCAGAGAACTGGTGGGAGATTAAGTATAATGTCTTTCCTTGATACAGGATGACATCTTGATAAATATATTGAGGTCATACATGATGAGCCAGGGATGCACAAGGTACACCTGTCCTTTATACGCACAGATTTGATACTTGTTGGGGCAAAGGGGAACATCTTAATTGCATTTGATGAACACTGACACGAGTTGCAAGAGACCACCTGGGATGATTGGGTCATAATAAAAAATAAACCACTGGACACTCCGAATTCCGGATTATATGTCCCCAGTGAAATTAAGGTTTCAAATCCTTCCTCAAAGACCAAGACTGTAAACGTTAATTTGCATTAGGCAAATATAATCCGTCATTCCTAGTAGCTCCCAAGTTATTCTCCATTTCGACAATACCTTCAGTTCTTTAGCGCTCACTGCTGCGGCAACTCTCTCTGCTATTGACTGATTGGCAGGCACCATGTGGACATGTTGTCTGTTCATGGTCAGCTGTGTGAGAGATCGGTTGAGATGTAGTTTGGTTATCACACCCGTGATATGTACTCCGGCGATGATGAGAAGTAGGTAAATGTAAGGCTGTGACCTAAAGTAAATTAAACTATCATTTACAATTTGAATTGTATTTCCAGTCTGCTCGGCGTTGTTTTACATTTATCAGGAATGATATTGTGTTATTTTTGTTGCAGCTTTTAATAATATTTCTAATAATAATAACCATTATCAAAAGCACTTCAGTACAGCTGATTATTATACCCGCATATATTTTACGTTTAACAAGTCTTCCCACCGTATCATATTAGTGTAATAACAAAGTTAAACTGCGCCACCTTAGTATTGATTTGTTAAGATGGCATTTCTAGTGTTGGGTGCTCACGGTTGTCTTTGCGTTTGGCAAAAAAAAAGCATGTAGCCGTATATTATTCGCACACCAATGTACACAGGTATCACAGGCCATTCTCTAGACAAAGCAGAGATACAGCTATTCCCTTTAGAAAACTAGAGATAAGAAGCAAAATCAAAGCCAACGTCGCTATATACGTGCAATAATCTTGGACGCGACGTTAAGCCCCATTTCACCTCACTCCCAAAGCCACCATAGCCAAAAGATAGCAAGCCTGGTGGGACGCAAGTAAGATCAGTAGATGGCTATACGAAATTCAACCCAAGTTCCACCAAAAGCCACATTTCATACTCAAATGAAAGGAAAGTCGAAATAGCCATCTCACACTTCAGACTCCTTCACAAAAAGCACTATGACGAGGTATGTTCATCTTGCAATCAACCTGAATCCATTTCTCACTTGATACAGGAATGTCAAGAACAGTTAAAACAATGGACAGCTACTCGAACGTATATAAACAGAGCAGCCAAAGATAAAAATGAAACTGGTTGTTTTGGCGTCGACGTTTTATGTTTACTGAAGTTGTTTGTTGAAAATAATTGTTATGTAAAGCTACTGTAAACATTTATCAACGAAACTGAAAAGTATACGTGACATCATCCCCCTTAGTAGAAGATATATACCTATTGTCAATGGGTAACGTGACATCTGCCTCCCGAGTTGATCAATATAGTGCCAGGCTAGTGTATCCATGTTAAACTGCGGCATTGCATCTCAGTGGGGTAGCACTATAAAACAGGCATACGTCCGGATAACCACAAGCAGCAACATACCCACAACTGCATGCGGTAATCTTGACGTTAAGCCCCGTTTCAGATCATATCGCCTCACACCACCATTGTTAACGTTTGCTTGTACATAGATATAGTGTAGGTAATGACATGTTTTAATTCAAATCATATTTAGTTAATAATTAAAGCAGAAAACTCTTATGTTCTTAAAAACATTTGGAACAAATTAAATCAGGTTTTACACAGGTATAATGGGTTTACACTTAATATTTCAAAAGATAACATTCTCTGAGAAATATATGGTTACCCCAACAACTTAAGTGCCCCTCGGGTCCTGGTGACTATGCACAAAATTACAAAACAAATTTCATGTACTGTTTTAAAAAAACTATTTCATCCTATTCGTATTATAGTTATATTTTAGCATTGTTTTTTTAACAAAAGAACGCAAAAACATTTTAAAAAAATGTCTATCCATTTTTCACTGTATACTTGTATGAAATAATGATGTCAAATAGTTACTTTTTCACATCATTTATTTTCAGTTGAAAGATATTAATCAAAGAATGCTCCGTTGCCGTTCTCTTGAAGCATTGATAGATTTTTACAGGCTATAAACAAACTGATTGGGGAGAAAAAAAATATTTCAACAAATAAAAAATAATTAGCTGAAAGTGTTAAAAGCTGTAAATAATTAAGCATCTAAACAACACAGGTAAACTCTCGATATACCATAACAAAATAGACCGATTGAAAGATTTCTATTTTCTTTAATGGTGGTAATGGTAATGACGAGCAGGCTTTCTGTTAAGGAAGATAACTCCCACCAACTTTAATACTGAAAACCACAATGAACTTGATATCCAAGCTGAAGCGCTCATACAATATTGTCAACAGCTTGGTGTTCATAACAATATGCAACATCTTTCTTCTTATAATTTTGTTTTTACAGACACAAAATACTTTCTTTGCAATACTTCAGCAATAGATTATAGAACTTGAAATAGAACTAGAACTATGAAGTCTTTCAGTTAACTTTTCAGCACTTAAAAATTAAAACTTTTCAACTCTCAATTTTAAACACATATGCAGAGATTTACAAGTCTAGAATGTTTCTCTGCTTCACGGAACGCCCACTTCTGGTGATTTAAGGCATTTAAGTATCTGTATGGCTCATTAGTGCTCTTGTCTGGCTGTGCATCTGGTGTCACTGGAACAACAGTATCACTTGTTTAATTTTCATTTTCATTTCCAACCACATCACTGCTTGATTTTACCACTTGTTTTTGATTACGACGATATTTGGCACCGCGTCAGTTTGCACAACATATGACATATTGTATTGGTCAAGTGGTTCACTCACAAGTGCAGCTGGGCTCCATAGATATTCGTGTGGAAGCCTGACTCAAAACTGATCATTGTTTGATAGTTCTAAATAGTTTAGCGGTTTTGCCATAATATATTTTCCGTTCATCCCTGAATATCTGATTTCGTGATGAACAGTTCGTGGATCAACAGTTCTTGTTTCAGTTATTGTGACGTTGTTGACACTGAACGTAAACGACGTCCCAGTAACGCCTGTGCAGGTGATGCGATGTTTTCGATCACTTGTTGTATTCCAGAATACCGTAAAGGAGGATCATGCTTGTCGGTTACTGCTCTGTCCAATAGAGGGGGCACAGGTGTCCCAGTCGTCTAAGGCGCCGCGATTCGCTGTGCAGAGTTGCGTCCCTTGGGCACGCCAGAAACCTATGATTGTGGGTTCGAATCCCGGTTCGCCTCAATTATGTTTCTAGATTTGTCAGCACCATACCCGTATACTTCTTTCCCAATGTGGCTGCCACAGGCAGTCAATTTGCAATTATTGACAAAGTCTCTGTATAAAAAAAAACCACAAGGCTCCAAATACACAAATAATAAACGTCTGAGGCCTGCATCACTTCGGGCTTTCCTCCCACATTAAGCTGACACGCCGTGATATAACTGGAATAATGTTAAAAGCGGCGTTAAACCAAACTCACTCACTCGCTCACTTTCCAATAGACGTTTGGCGGTCTGAACACTTCTCACTGAAAAACCATTACTCTGAAGATAGCTCCCAAGCTCCAGTGAAACACTTAAACTCTTCTGACGAATACTGCGGCCCATATTTTTTTAGATATTCCTTGTCTGGTAAGGGGCGGTCGGGTAGCCTAGTGGTTAAAGCGTTCGCTCGTCACGCCGAACACCCGGGTTCGATTCCTGACATGGGTACAATGTGTGGTGGCAGCGATGTTACCGAGAGTGTAACGAAGGTGTCACGCGCTGGGAAGGAGCTCGGCAAGTGTGATGTATAAACTTCCGGATGGATGTCAAGAGTTATACTTTTTTCTTTTTTTTTGTTGTTGATCGCGGCACTCAAAAATATTCCAGCTATATGACGATGGTCTGTAAATAATCGAGTCCAGTAATCCAGTGATTGACACCATGAGCATCGATCCACGCAATTGGGATACGATGACATGCATCAACCAAGTCAGCGTACCTGAGCACCTGATCCGGTCAGTCGCCTCTTACGACAAGCATAGTCGCCTTTTACGGCAAGTATGAAGACCTATTCTACCCCGGATCTTCACGGGGAGACTTCCTTCTACGTCTTGACTAACAACACAAAGCAGGAGATTCCAATTTAGGTGACTTAACTTTTTCGCCCATGGGCGAGATATTTTAATAACGTTATTATTTTTTTCAATTACGTTACAATGAGTTGAATTATGTGTCATTATTCTTGCAGGCACACCTTCAACCATTTGTAAAACAAAATTGAGCCAAGTAAAAGTATTCTAGCCCATGGGTGACAAAGTTAAAATTTGGAGTTTTCGAAACAATTATATTTCCAAAGTTTCTTCCTTAGAAAACCCATGAAAATAGCATGTTGAATGTGGTATATATCTCTGTCCGAGACTGGCCATGGCGCGGAGAGTTTCTGGGTTTCCAGAACTAAGGTGAGGTGAAATGGGGTTTAATGTCGCGTCCAGGATTATTGCACTTGTGAGTGAGTGAGTGAGTGAGTGTGTTTGTGTGTGTGTGTGTGTGTGTGTGTGTGTGTGTGTGTGTGTGTGTGTGTGTGTGTGTGTGTGTGTGTGTGTGTGTGTGTGTGTGTGTGTGTGTGTGTGTGTTCTTGTACTTGTTCGGACTGATGCCGATTTTATAGTGCTAGCCCACTGAGATATTATGTCACAGTTTAACACGAATACCCCACTCAGAACCCCGCGCCTTCGTATATGAAGACACAACCACAAGGTTTCCCTCAGACTCGGCCACAAAAAAAACTGGAGACACAACCATAAGCTGCCCTATGACTCGAACTCGGCCACAGAAGGCACTGGAGACACAACCAAAATGTTTCCCTAGGACTCGAACTCGGCCACAGCGACGTACATGTACGTGTGTGTGTTTGTTTGTGTGGCTGCTTGTACTAGTCCGGACTGATGCCGATTTATAGTCCTAGCTCACTGAGATACCATGCCGCAGTTTAACATGAATAACCCACTCAGACACAGTATACTGACTCCGAGCCGACCAGTCCTTGTTTTAGCCCCTTAATGCCGAGAGCCAGACAGGGTAACAACAAGTACCATCTTTTAACGTGTTTTGGTATGACGCGGTCGGGGATCGAACCCCGGACCTTCCGCTCTACGGTCGGACGCTCTACCACTAGACCACGGGGGCGGTTTCCAGAACTAAACTGGGACGTGTCATAAACATCTATTCATGTAGCATACACGTATACTGGAACGGACACCGTGACTTCTAATGTATTGTTCCAGTCTCTGTATTTTACTACAGGGCTATTATATTGTAAGATCATGAGAATCAGATTCTGGTAAAACAAATGATCATAATTTATTATCCCCTGTTACGTTCCATGCGTCAGTTCGTGATGCACCTGCTATTCTGAT